TTCAATTGTAGCAGGCTCCTGGAAAGCTCATCAGGAACAATCCCTCACATGGTTTCAGAAAATATGCAACAGGAAATTACAGCCTGAAGGCACTGTGTTCACTAGCAATTCCCAACCAAGGAAAAGAGAGACGACACAAACCAAAATAATTGCATAAGACTCCCTGAGCTGTACATGCAAGCTCTGCACTTGTCAAGGAAAGTGGGCAAGCAGCCAAAAGGGACAGAATATGTCACTAATTATCAAATACAGGAGAGAAATAGCCGGCTTGTTGGAGAAACAATTCATAGAAACAGATGAAAATAGTATCTTTTATGATGGAAAAGACCTTTAAGACTATCAAATCCAGCCATGAATCCAGCACTGCTAATTCCACTAAACCGTGTCAATAAACTCTGAATCTTTTAAATATCTCTAGGGATGGTGACTAAACACATTTCCCACAATTTAACTCTGTGTGGAGCAAGGCATTTGGTAAGGTATCTGTGGTGGAAGGGCAGGGGGAAATCCCTTCATGCTCCTTACACTTGGCATATCTTTTGTACTGAGGCTTCTAAGAGGACATTCAGCCAGTGCACAGCATGGACACAAAGCATGCCAGGCACTCTAAACTATTTGCTTTGGGTAAGAAACATAAAGGATAGGAGTTTGCCACTGTCATGAGGCAAATGAACCCTTCTTGTCAGTCCCACAAAAAAGCCAACTCTCTGTTGCACGGGGTTTCTTCTCTATTTTGCAGAAAGCCTAACTCAATAGGGGGGAATGAAGAAAAGTGGAGGCAGAAGGAGCGGGAAAGCCATCTACATCCCCTATTGCAGCCTGGATGGACACTGCTTTCCCTCACATGGGAGAAAGCACTCCAGGTCCAGCCAAGCTGCTCGGAAGTAGTGTTCCAGGTAGTGATTCCCTCCTCTGTGTTCTGCCACTGCCAACGCATCGACAGTACACAAACAGGTATCCAGCAGCACCTTCTCCCTGTGCCTAAGGCCAGAGAGGATGTTTAGCTACTGAGTCAGGACTACAAAACAACACTGAGAACTGTGTCAGCCGGGACACTTTAGTAAACTCACACGCTTTGTGATTTCTATACTATTGCTTTGTTTTCTGGCAGCTTAATGTGAATTTTGGATGCAGGTGTGGGTGGACCTGCAGCTCCCGAGCCATAGCTACAGGTGCAGACTCTGGGCTCACCAAAAAAGCACAGAATATGAATTCAAAAGGACAGAATAAAGTGTTCCCATCACTTTATCTCACTGTATATCTGGGTGGGGTCAGTTAAACCTCTTCCAAATCGCATTTTCAGTCAAATTCGTGCAGCACAGCTCCAGATCCCAGCCTGAGCTATTCCACCGGCCGCCGTGGGATTAGGAATCGTCGGCCGAGGCGGGATCCCAGCCGGAAGGGCGGTAGGATCCCAGCCGGAGGAGCGGCAGAATCCCGGCCTGAGGGGCGGCGGAAGCCCAGCCGGAGGGGCGGTAGGATCCCAGCCTGAGGGCCAGTCGGATCCCGGCCTGAGGAGTGGCAGGATCCCGGCCTGAGGGGCGGCGGGAGCGCAGCCGGAAGGGCAGTAGGATCCCAGCCTGAGGGCCGGTAGGAGCCCAGCCGGAGGAGTGACAGGATCCCGACCTGAGGAGTGGCAGGATCCCGGCCTGAGGGGCGGCGGGAGCGCAGCCGGAAGGGCGGTAGGATCCCAGCCCGAGGGGCGGTGGGAGCGCAGCCGGGGCCGGGCGGGGCCGGGCGGGATGCGCGGGGCTCGGCTGCCCCCTGCGGGCCGCGCCGGGAACGGCGCCACGGCGGCGCCGGGACAGCGCCGGAGCGGGGCCGGTGTTCCAGCGGGACCGGCATGGCGCGGAGTGTAGTGCCGGGAAAGGTAAGCGGTCAAAAGCGGCGAACTTCGCACTGGACTAAGGGGATATCTGATCGTGGAATCAAGGAATGGTTCGGGCTGGGAGGAACCTTAAAGATCAGCTAGTTACAATCCTCCTCGCCAGCCCCATCCGGCCAGGCTTTGAGCACTTCCAAGGATGGCGATATGCATAGTTTCCCTGGACAACCTGTTGCAGTGCCTCACCATCCCCACAGTGGAGAATCTCTTCCTAATATCTAACCCACCTTCTGTCAGTTTAAAGCCATTCCCCCCATCACTATGTGCCCTCGTAGAAAGCCCTTCTCCAGCTCTCATGCAGGTCCTTCTACACACTGGAAGGCTACGAAGCCTTACAGGAACCTTCTCTTCTTCGGGCTGAGCAGTCCCACCTCTCTCAGCCTGTCTTCACAGGAGAGGTGCTCCAGCTCCCTGATCATCTTCACATCCCTCCTCTGAACTCAGCCCAACAGGCCCACATCCATTTTACACCAGAGGTGCCAGATGCTCCAGGGATGGGGATGTAGTACTCTGGGAGCAGGCAGAGGGTCTCCCCAGAGCAGAGCTGAGGGGCAGAATCCCCTCCCTTGCCCTGATGGCTACACTGCTTTGGATGCAGCCCAGGACAGCGTTGGCTTTGTGGATTGAGAGTGCCCATTGTCAGGTCATGATGAACTCCTAGTCAACCAACATCATCAGTTCTCCTCAGGAAGAGGTTTTGTCCTTTTGGGAAGGTAAAGGAGGGAAGCTGGTAATTGAAAAGGTTTAATGCAGACCTCCTTTTTCAGCACCTTTTAAAGACCAATTCCTGTACTTCCCCCAATGCTCTGTCATTATTTAACCCAGAAGACCAGAAAATAAGCCTCAGACCAACAACAAGTATTCCTCCTCTTCCTCCTCCTCTTTCTCCTCCTCGTGCTGCAAAAAGACCTTAGAAATCATCTGCAGGCCTCTAAAATTAGGTATTTTTCTCAGTTTTGCCTATTCTTTGTTCCCAGGGCAAAAGTTACTTCTACCTCTAAAATTCTGTCTGAGGAAATCTTGTTTTGCTCTAACCTGACAGGAGATAACCTTTCTTTGCCACCTCCCAACCTCCACAACTCTCCAAGATATGCTAGAAAGTAGGGCAATACACCAACACAGAATCTTGTTAATAATGAGGGCTGGCAAGTCAAGGTTCAGTGTACAATTCCCAAAAATCACGTGTCTTTTGAGTGAGTCACATCAGCAACGTTACCCTTCCCTTTGCATTTGGACTCCTACAGACACCACGCTTTGCTGCACAGCCAGAGTTCATTTGCAGAAGGTATCAGCATCATAATATTGGGTCATGAAGAAATAAATTAACAGTTTGGGATTTTTTAATTGTTACAGTCATACTTACATGGACTCTTTGTGGAGTGCATGAAGCAAGCACTGAGGCAATCTGAGTGACTTTGTGTTTCTTCCATCTCCAGTTACTTCTGATGCTCCCTCAAAATGGTTTGTCTAAAAACCTCCAAAAGTTCACTCACCATTATAATTTTAAATAAAGATAAGTTAAGCTTTGGTTTTGTTTTGTTTTCTCTCTTTACCTACCTTCCCAATTCTCTCTGGACTTAAAATAAAACCTAGGTGGCAGCAGAGAAAGATTCTGACTTGACTCACTCAACTACAATACGTACAGTTTTGTATCAATCATTCAAGAAATTATAGGGCCAACAGCATGAAAGTCATTAGGAAAAAAACAGAGTATTTGTTACTGCCAATTTCTTTAACATCATCATTAACTTTACGTCAGTTGCAGCAAGCCTGTTATTTTTTATAGAAAGTTCTGTTTTCATTCCCATCTCTCTTGTCAGCTGAGGGCTGAGGGGAGGAAGGCCCCAAGGCTGCATTTCCTGAAAAACACACACACACCTGAGTGGGAGTCAAGTGGGTTTTCTTTACGACAACACGTCAGCTGAGAGAGGGAGCAGCAGAGTGAAACAAGGTACAAAGCAGGAGCTCGGAGAGAAAGAGGTACAGCTCTTCAGCCTCAACCCTTCCCTCAGTCTTTGTGTCAAGTGAGGATTTATTATCTGCTGCATGATTTAGCCTCTCCTAGAAGGTCTCTTCTTTCTTTCCTGGACTAGAATAGTTGCTGCTTTTATTTCACCCCGTGTTAGAAAAGAAATAATGTCATATGTTCATGTCCTGGAAATAAAATGTGATGATTATTCGACAAAGAATCAGGTAACAGCAAAGGCTTGAGTTGTTCATATTCAAAAATATTTATTTTTCAGTTGTTCATGATATGTGTCAAATTCTTGGTTACAGCAAAAAATTGTAACAAACAGCATCACAGTGACATACAATCAAGCCATGAGAGTGCAGTTTATTACAACAGTGTAAACAAAAAGAAGTATTTCTGTAATGGCACTGTCCATGAACCAGATTATGGCATACAGAATCCCAGCAAAAGTCAAGAGAAACTTTTACAAAGAAAACAAGCCCCCAAATTGAAGCAGAGTATATGAACCTGGCCAAAAGAGCCCAATCCACATTTAATCAGAGAAGAGTGTCCCCAGAATTTTTGCTTGGCTTGTTCTTAATGAAATGAAATCTTCATTGTTTTCAAGGCATCAATTCAGCATATGAAATAGTACTATTATTGAATAATATTAGTAAAGAGCAAGCATCTTTTAATTATGACAATGTGAATACCCCTACTGTTACATTATTAAAGGAGATGAGATGATTTGGGAATATTATTGACTGTATAGCATGACACCTTTAAAAGATATTCCTTAGGAAATAAAAATAAATTACTGAGAAACAAAATCCAAAGTACACTGTCAAAGACACTTTTTTGTGCATAAATATCAAAAAAGTAGAATCTTATTTTTATGCAATGGAAGTAAACAATTTGATTATAATACATGGTACATACTGTAAACTGTAGGATGCACTTTGAACTTAAAATATACTCATCTCAAACATATTTTATATATCATCATCTAAAACGGGACTAAAAAATTTTAGGGTTTTTTTTTTAGATCATGCATTAGTTACAGCTTGCTTGATGGCCACAGTTTTGCCAGCAGCCTTTTTGTGTTCTGCAAGATCCTCTTAATAAAAACACACAGGTCTGAATTCCACTACATTTTACACATGTACCTTTCTTACAGGAAGTTTTGCATGTGTTCCATCTGCAGAGAGTGGGTCCCACAACAGCAGGAGGTAAAGACAGAGCAACTAAGGTACAGTTATTAAGAAATATTGGACAGCTGGGAGTACACAATATAATTACAAGCTGGTATCTTCAGTTTCCAGAAAGCTATACATTTGTTTGTTAAAAAAAAAGTAGACATCCAACATGTGTTTACTCACATGCTGACACAGAGCTCATGCAAACAATTAAAAAAAATTACCCATGTTATTCTTCAGAAATGCTGCTTATAGTTCATCCTCAGATAAACTGAGGTCCCCTCAGAAACAGCAGGGGCCTGATGTGCAGATTGACTCAAGCAAAATGTAATTGCTTCCTCCACACTGAGACGTGAACAGAAGTATCAAACAGATTTCATTGAATTGGGCTTCATTTCAATACTGTTAGGTCCAAATCCAGGTTCACTTGTCATTAAGCAATAAGACTACCTTAAAAAAAATTAAATATTATTTTCTTGGAGGAAGAACATTTTCTTCATAATAGCCCGGATTTACTACATTTCCAGCTGGATCATATCTAGCCACCACAAACGTTGAGCCATCACTAGCAGATGCCTTTCCAACTCCCATCTTTTTTGTGTTCTTCCAAACCATTGCTGTAAAGTGACCTGAAGAAAGAGAGAGAAACATAAACATTCCCTTTAAATACTAAATCTGTAACATTTCCTTTAACATGTGAGGTGCTGGAGGAAAAAAGAACAATACACAGCTGCTTCTTTGTGTAACATGAGAACAAGCTAAGGACATGAAAAGGAACCCTACCTCTAGCATTTTGTCTTGAAAACCCCTAACCTGATTTGTTTTCATACTACTATTCCCATTTCCATGTTCTGTATCCAAATAAGAACATGTAGCAGGAGAGTTGTAGAAGAAGTAGTTGGATAAGTATCTGATGTAAAATTTGACAGAGACATCACAGTCTGTACTCCCTGCAGTGTGAACAGCAGTTCTGGGAGTGACTATTATTCATTTGCTTTAACTGCCTCATACTCCCCCATGTGTTTGCATGTGCAACTCTTCAAAAACCCCACTGTTTTTGTGCCTTCTTCTGCCTAGTTTAATAGCCACCCCCACATTGTTGTTCCCACTATGCATAGGCAAATCCCAAAGTCAGGGAGAAAAGCGTCATTTTCTTAATTTGAAACAAGGTCAGGTACCTCTCTTGCTTGAGCTTTATTTGAGGAACAACATTCTCAAATTCATTTTGCACTAGATTGTTAATATGCAGCAACAACCTATCCCCAGTCTCCAGATTTTAGCTGAAGTGATCTCTGTGAGTGGAGTGATATAATTCAGCAGAAGTCACATATCAATGTAAACAACAACACAGTACATTTAGTAAGACTCCAATGAGATTCCAATTTAGTATTTCTTACAAATTAATTTGCCTTAAAATAAGTTGCCTGTTCAAAACTTTGAAGTCAGAGGAAAAATGCAGTACTAAAAAACCCCTACAAATTTTGTTTGTTTTCTAATTTCTCAGGGTTTTTTACACTTTTGTCAGTTTTTAGCATAATAGTAGAAGTTTCATTTTTGAAGAGACAGTTCCCAGTCTGAACTTACCTGTCCTAGAAGAAAACCCTGGGTTTTGAAAGCTGTAATTTTTTATTTCACTGTACCACCTGTCAGCCACATCTTTTCCTGAAAGACAAAAGAAATGTGCTGCAGAATCATGACATAAACACAAAAGTGTAGCTCACTTACAGCCTGGCCAGTAAGATCTTCTGTAACTTTCAGCTTGGAAGGTAATGAAGACACATCTCCCTCATCTTGGATAAGTGCTCCTGTCATCAGGCTTACACATACAGCTCTCACCAGCTTCTTCTTCCTCTTGAAATGTGTTTGAAAATGCCTAAGTGTTCCCGGTTTTCTAAGCAAAAGGTCACACCTGTGGATGCTTACCCCTTCCAGCTCCAGGTAACCCAAAGAAAAATTAAATTTCTGATGTCTTTTTAGTTTCCCGTGTTCTCACCAGCATTGAATATTTCTGATTTCTGAGTGCATTTATTTTTAGTGGTTTCTACCTAGCACTAAAGCCATTGTGAAGGTCCATTTTGAGGCACCATAATCTGGGGTACTACAGAAACCTCAAATTTTCATACTTAGGAGCTGCTTCTGTGTGGAAGCCTGTGTGTCTAGCATTGTCTCATCCCACCCAAGGCTTTCCCTGACAACAGTATGAGGACCAACACTACAGCCAGAGATGTAGCTCAGACCCAAATCTGCAGATGCAGTGCAGACAAATGTCAAATGTTACTTGTTTTCCATTACTGGTTGTTAGGAAATTCTTGTGCCAAACACTGGGGGGACGAGAGGGGTCAGGTTTTTCCCTGAGCAACCTCAATAATTAAATTTCTGCTTAGCATTCCAGGATGTATCATCCACACAAGGCCAGGAGATTTCAAAGCAAGCTGCCAAAGCTGTTGAGCCTGACATCATGAAGAATGCTGGTCCCTGGTGGACTGTTGGCTGCAGAAGAGCAATGAGTCATGCTTTGCTATTTTGCAGCAAAAAGTCTTAAACTTGTGCACTTCTAGAAGTCAGACACTGTGTTAACTTCTTTAAACTTCAGTTTGTTATGACTGAAGTCAGCTAAAAGGATGATGATGTTAGCCTGGCAAGCTGGTTGTCAGAGCCCTAGCTGATAAGCAAATATTCAATGAAATGCTATCTTTGGAGAGGCTTATGAACTTGAAGTACTATGAACTTATATGCCACACTGGTCATTAGGAATAGTGCTTAGTAGAATAAATATTTTTTTTCTACATAAAAAGGTAACAAAACATCTCTTGCCTCCCAAAGTAAAAGTTTCAGGAATAACAATTGGTTTCTTCTTTTCCTGCTCTCCTTGCACCAGAAAGACAAACCCACTAGACCTGTATTATGGTTGAAGTATGTAACACATATTTGTTCATTTCTTACTCGTATTAAAGCTAAAATCAAGACTAAAAAAGAAAGTGCAAATAGTGACCTTTATGCAATACAAGGGGAAAAGAAAAAGCACATAGTAAAAAACCACAAAACAAACCAATCAGATCATGCTGTCCCACTCTAGATTTCATAGCTATGAAGGGTTTGTGGTGAGCTGGGTGTAACAGAAGTACAGAAGGTGACTGCTGACATATCAGACCTTATGAAGCCCATGTATTCTATGTGTACTAGTGCTGAAGTGACTATACTACATAAGCAAGATTTTAGCAGATGTAAGACTACATTCTCACTGCTGCCAGCTCTGTTAATGTATCAGTGGGATATAGCATCAACAGTATTTAAAGAGAAAGTCACCCCCACTCTGCTTACTGTAGCTCTGAGAAGTGTGCCTAGGCTGCACGTGACAGAACTTAAAATCTCCATAATGCAAGTATTGCAGGGCACATGGAAGTTTTGACAAATACAATATCTCTTCATAATTAATTTGCTTTTAATTTAAAGAATACTATCATTTGAAAAATTGTTTGCTTTAATTCAAGGGAGATAGCAATGGCATCAGATAAGACTGCCTCAGTCCTGTACCTGAAAGACAATGAGCATAGCTGGACAGCACAGTCTATCATGTGTTAATTCCCAGATTTCAAGGATGAAAGCTTTCAACTGACTGAGGCTAGGCAGTTAAAGCTGAGAAGCTGATCACTATTCTCCATTTTTCACATGCAGGATCAAGTTTTCATTATATAGCATTGCTGTCATCATCCTTGAATTAAAAGAGTCATGGCCTCATAAACTGTGAGAAAATAAAGACTGGCTTTTTTCCAGCAAAAGAGAAGGTCACCAAAGGACTAGGAAACTTTTGGCAAACTGTGTCTTGAAATCATGTTAAAGAAGTGCTTTCTAAGTGAAGGGAATGAATGGTATCTGTCACATGGCACGGGAAGTGAGGGGGAATCCAATGTGGAAGCTACTACCACATGAGAAGACAGATAGGTACCTAGGGATTAAACAGTCTCTCTTTCCTCTGAAATACTTTTCTTGTGATTCTTTGCCCTTTATGGAGCAGTAAACAGTGCCCTGGTGGGACACAAGCCAAAACAGTGTTGAAAGTGACAGCTGGCACATAGGAGAGCTGACCAAGGAAAACCCCTGTTTTGAACCCAGTGACCTCCAGGCTTCTAGAGAGAAAACAGCACAAGGGTCAGGAGTGCCCTGAACCTACCTGCTTTAGCAACAACTTGCATCCTCAGACTTACTGGTTCAGAAAACTGACCACAATATTTCCATTTAAATGTATTATGGAATAAATGATGCAGTCATATTTAGAGTCTATTTTGATTGCTTTTCAATGTTCTGTTGAGAACAGCTCCCAAAGTTCCCCCAAAACAAAGGAAGTTGGTTGCTGTTCAAAATGCTTTTCAGTCAGAAGGAAAAATACACAGAAAAGAAATTGCTCACATTCTTCATTCCTGATCAGAGCAGAAATGATAAAGTTTACTCCTCTCAAGAAGCACATGGATCTGCCCTGCAGTCAGAGCTGCAGCTTCTCTTCTGTTGTTCTGCTTGTGGAACTGATTCATAAATATTCTGCTGGGCTTTTTTATCACCCTTCCTCTTTGCACTACTGTAAACTATACTCAGAGTTTCAACACTTTCACTATGGAAACACAGTTTGACTCCACCCTTGTCCCAGAGAGAGCTCACTGATGACCTGCTCAGCTAGGCTTACTAGATGTTCATTTCAGAACAGGCTGAATCTCACTCTAATGAGCTTCAGTCATGATGGACAATCTTCCTCAGGTGAAAACTTGGTGCAACAATCCTTGAACTAATGTCCAAGTATAGTTTTGCCCAAGACTGGGACCAGAACCAGCACAGTGATTTGATTTTACTTACATGAGCAACATGCTTGCAACATGGCCACACTGACTGTGCCTCAAGCTTCCTCCAAGGGTCAGAGGAGTGACCATGAGGGCTCAGTCCAGATGAAGTACTAACAGTCTAAATAATGTCCCCCTTGTTATCAAGGGGCCACTGCATGTAAGCAGTGACCCAGCCATGCTCTGCATCTCATCAGCTGTGCTGTTGTCTCATTAAATGTATTTTTTAGCTATTCTCCTGGGTGAGGAGCCCCATTCTGTGTAGATGTTGAGGGTGTGAGTGCCAACAACTGGTACCAGACCAAGGATTGCAGGGACCTCTGTGTGGTGCCAGCAACTGGAGCACCAGCAAAGCAGGAGAGGGACCAGCTGGTGAGCAGGTGAAGTGCTCTGTGGGAGCTGCAGAAGTGTATGGCCATTGCAGCCTGGGTTCTGGTCAGCAGCCAGGGACCTGTGTGTATGAGATGCACTGTGCTGGTGACTGGAGTGGAACTGCAGCCTCAGGGTATGTCCAGGTGCAAGCTGCTGGTGAAATCAGGATCCAGGGACAGCTACTGGGCAGACTGAGTGTCTGAGTTCAGTTGCTGCTGGGATCCACACTGGAATTATATTTCTATTATATACATATATATAAACATATGTAATTGAACACTATACAATATACATTATATCTACCTTTAAATCATTTACTGAGAAATAGATACTTGCATTTTTTACTTATATATACTCCAGTAACATATATTGGAACATATATTGAAATCAGCTGGAAAAGGAAAGAGGAAGAGGCCGCTGGTGCTGTTCATTTTAATACTGACTGCATCTGTTTGTGCTGCTCTGCACATAAACACATGTCCATGATATAAGTGTGTTTGTGTAAGACTGGAAACACATTCCCAGCCTGTGCAAGACTGGACACACATTCCCAGCCTCACCATTGGGAACACAATGCTGTGGCAGCCCTATTCCTTTATTCAGCTCCCCTCAGCATTTAACTTCTCTGGGCTCAGCCTTAATGTTTCTCCTCATACCAAAGAAAGCTTAAATCCTCAAGTAATCCCACTAAGTTGCCAAAAACATTCTAATAGAATCACATAGACCATATTTCTCTGCAAATGGGCAGCACCTCAGTGATCTACTTAAAAACTAAGTTTTCATAAATTCCTTCCACCAGTCTGAGGGGAAAGAGGGTAGATTTAACACTGCCTTCGAAATAAAATATCTACCTAGACTAAAGTCATACCAATGGCTTTTGGAAGTAATTCTCTGCTTTCAACATCCCTTATGCAGGTCTTTATTTTACTTTATTTAACACTATTGTACGAGCCTGGTGTTAGACAGCAAGAGATACATCAAGGCAGGCCTTCAGTCAGAGCACACTCCTCCAGGGCTTGGACAGACTGTGCTTGTGCTGTTCTGCACACTAGTCCCAGCCTTAGGAGACCCAGATTCCTCCCATGACAGATTTGGGGGATAGCTGACTGGATTTCTCTTACAAACTCTCTGGAGTTCATAAACCATAGTGCTTCCACCAGCAACAGGGCAGGTTCTTCTCAGCCACACCAGCCATCCCAAACAGAATTCAGACATCCAGTGCTTGCCTGCAGCCCCCAACACATGAGAAATGAGATGAGGCATCCTGAAGCCTGACATAGCACAGCTGCCAAGGCAGGCTGCAGTCTCTGCATTAGTGGCAGATGACAGCTCACTTATTTGAACACAGACAAAGAAAAGTCTGCCACAGAGCAGTTCCTGCAGGACTGGAGGGAGGAAACAGCTGTCAACTCTTTCTTGGATTACAGGGATAAACATATTTCTAGCAACAGCTTTAGGCTATGTAACTCTAAAATCCTGAATAGAATTCAAGGTATTCTTGTACCAGGAGAGGAGTCATATTAGAAGGCTTTATAGTTGAAAGCTTAAGCCTTCACTGAAACAAGAAATGCATCTTCTGGCATTATTACAGAACTCAGCAAGAGCCAAAATAAACAACACCATCACTTTCTGAGAAAGAATACAGAGTATTCTAGAGGTTTATTGAGTCTTGCTTTATCTGGGAAAGAAACCAGAAGACACTGCCTGCCTTTGTCAAGCCCCTGAATGGATGTCTTAATCAAAATTCCTGCCTCATTGAGCAGGGTACAAATTAACTATCCAGAGGGAACTATATGAGAAAAAGAGGAAGAATGAACCAACTCCACAGAGGTGAAGACTAAGCCTAGATAAGAAAATAACTTCCTTTGAAGAACTAGCTTTCTCACTCTGGTACTTCAAGTGATCCTGTTGCATTGGAAAAGTAGAAATGTTTCACAGAACAAAAGAGGATGTAGCTTAATTTGCTCAACATGGTACTTAATCGTGTGGATAAAAACCAGCAAAACTTCTCAAAACTGGAAAGCTATGTATGGAAACTGTGCACTGAAGAAAACAGACCACATCCAGAGAAAAGACAGACAGACATTATGTAGAAGGATTTGTGTGTTATGTTTCCAGCTCTCTAAAAGGGAATTCTGTGGCTTTAACCTCAAGGGAAGGAGCACAGGCCAGTAACACAAACAAGAAAGAGCTAAGCTCAGTCAGTGAGTCATAGCCCCTATGCAAACTCTGCCATACATCTGTGTTTTCCCATGCTGCTCCCAATCCTTTCCTCACACCCTTGCAAAGGACAGAATGCCAAATATGAGCAGATCAAATTGTACTTTTCCACCATGGGTTTCTTTTTCAACAGGAAAATTGGGACTAGAGTTGGCACCTGAAGAGGAACCGAACAGCATCCCTGGGACTAAAACTCACTAAAATTTCCAGATCCTTCAAACAGAGCCTCCAGTCTACAGAAACGAGCTTCTGTTTCTTTGGGGCTGTGCTGGAAATTCCAGGGGTAGATTGGAATAAAGAAAGCAAGTGGTCACTTTTAATACATCCCACCTGCTGTCCCAGCAGGCTGAGACATGAGCCCTGCTCACTGGAAGGAGGCAGGAGGGAAGAGCCTGCTGAATCTCTCTCCAGCTGAGGGCTTACTACAGGTTGTCAGCCTCACCAAAATTCAGCTCCTGGGGCACCCAAACCAAAGGCTCACAGTGACAAATTACACTTACAATCAGAAAATACATGGAGTAAAATAGTCTTCAAAAATATAATAATGAAAAAGGGCTTAAAGCCTGTTTGCTGACAGAGTGGAAGATATTAGTGGAAGGACATTAGCCACTGTCACTTTGGTGTCCAGTCTCCTGCTTTTGCCCCCACAAACAGGAACTGCTGAGCAGTGTGCAAGAGACATTTTTCCACTTCCCTGACCACAGCTGGGTTGTGGGCAGACCTCTCTTTGGCTGGGACAAACTAAGGATAAAGGTGAAATAGGGGGCATTGTCGACTTCCTTCTCTCCTGCATGGACACACAAGCACCACTAAAGACAGCTCCACAGCAGGGACACAGGGAGAAGCTGCCAAGTCCTGCTTCCAAAGGGGCATAACACTCCCCCACAGTCCCTTACTCCCTCTGTGCCCACAAATGCTTCTTGTTCTCAGGACACACCGGTAACTGCAAACCAACAGCCTTGTCCCCAGGGAGCCTGGGCTGGGCTATGCTGGATACATTTGAAGTAGAGGAAACTCCAGCACTCTTGCTACCAGATGCAACCCAAAGTACTTGAGATAAGATATTTATCAAGTGTCTGTGAGACAACAAGAGAAGAGAGCTCACCTGATTGGTCATAGGATGCCCATGCTAGGTTTTCTCCACAATTCCCATTAGCAGACTCAGAGCTGTGCTTGAGGACCCTCGTGGTAGCCAGTTCTTCTGCATACCTAGCAAAGGAACCACACATTGAGTCAGGGACCACAGCTGCAATGAGCAATAAGGAGGAGGAACAGGAGGAAGAGAAGGATATGCAAGGAAGGAATTGTGCTGGAAGATGACAGGTTTAAGTCAAGTTGCAAAGCCCTGAACCAGAGATGCTTTAAGGTTACATAGATCAATGAGTTAGGCAAAGGAAAAACACATTTTCCCTGTCTTTCATGAGCATCTGTATAAATTCTGAGAAGAGCTTAGAAGAAATCAAAGGGCAGATTTCCTTGCACCACATTTTAACCAGCACTTGGAAATCCAACAGCCATCCTTAGCCACAGCTGCAGGTGGAAAGGGAAGTATTTACAGCAATTGCTACAGGTGCCACCTCCTAGCATTTCTAGGTCCCTTACAGGAGTAAATTAAATGTTCTCAGTGAGACTGGAAAAAAACAGAAGTGGGAATTTAGTCAAAGAAAGCACAAACCCCCTCCATTTACAAATTAAAGAAAAAAAGGTGAAATTCAAAAAAAGAGCAATGTACCAGGAAACAAGATGGAAGAGAAGGGGATCACATGGAGACTCTCAGGCAACAACTGTGTAAACCAACACAGGGATAAGCAGCACTGTTTCTATAGAATTTGACATGTGTGCGAATGTGGGATGTATTTTATTTTCTTAGAACAATAGGGTTAAGAAGAACATAATGGGTAAAGCAATTACTCTGTTTATTCAACATTGGAAAGGCTTCAATACAGAGATAGGGAAATTGGAAAGACCATTTGTTATTTCTTATAGTGGCAACACAGAGTCATCAGGTCATAGATTTAAAATTCAAGTGAGACAAAGCTCTTCTTCCACACTGTGCAGCAGAAGTCATTGCCACAAGACAATGCAGGCACCAAAGCACACGTGAGTTTGAAAAAGAGAGAGGGAAATTCACAGTGTATGGATGTGGGGAGGAATCTTCATGGCATATTAATGAACAGCAACAAATAAATGAGGACACAACTTACTGCTTAGGAAAATGGTAATTTCCAGGATAAATCTGTAATTTCCAGAAGAAAATAATGGGGGAAGGATCATATTTGTTTTGTCCTCCTACTCCTTCCCTAATCATGAATTACTGGCATCTGCCAGAGGCATGAATTTTGTCCAGCTGAACATTTTGACCCAAGCTAGCACTGCAGTCATTAGGTTCTAATTTCCTTCTGCCCTAATCCACCCACCAAAACAAAAAGAGGAGTAATTAGCTACATCCATTAATTTAAAAATAATGAAAACTTGTCAGTTGTCAGTTTGCTAGATCCTGGACTGGAGGATCTTTAGATGCTATCTCTACAGTTCTGTAATTTTCCTAAGGATCCTCATATCCCAAGTTAGAGGCAGGACTAAGCACACATTGCAGATGGATGAAGCTGCCAGGGATTTGAGACAAAAGGTGATTAATCCACTCCAGCTCAGGCAGCTGAAAGCATGAGATTTTCATCTGAGATCATCACCCTATGCTTCATTACAGTCAGAGATAAACAGACACCTTCTGAGGCTGACTCATCTCATGTTAAAGCAGGAATCCAATAGTCAGTTCACCTGTCACAATAACTGGACCTGAAAATAGTAGGAAACCAAATAGTAGGAAACATACCATTTTCAACTCAGGTAGAGAAGCACAGAAAAGCACCCAGAGAGAAAAGCACCCAAATACAAACCAACAAAGATGTATATATATGTAGGATATACACAAAGAAAAGGTCAAGTTCTTTTTTTAATTTAAGAATATACAAAATCTGTCTTGAAAAATATGAGATTTCTTAAATTTCATGTCTTTTATTCCAACCAAAACATTTCTTGTTCTTGCTATCAAGCAGTTTTACCAGTCTCTAAACATGTCTTAATTCTTACAAGTTAAGTTATAGACCTCAAGCAAAGAGAAGTTTCCTATTGTTGTTCATTGCAGCAGGGCATCAGCTGAGACCAAAGAGGGTTGTGAAGAATTTCCGAAGGATCTAAAAATACCCAGCAAGGGCAACAGCACACTCAGAGATAAATGTGCAGCAATGCATATTTGATAGAATAATCTGAACTATTCATACAAGCCAACTTGTTCAAACTGAGTGTTGCACTTCTGAGACCCAACAAGTGCTATTGACAAGTCAATGAAATCTCTCCCTCACTGTGAGCATGAAAAACAGAACCAAAAAAAAACCAAACCCTTTGAAGAACAGAAGGAAAGTCCCAGCAGATTACAAGATTGATGAATGAGTCACTAGCATTCCACATTTTAGGAATACTGTATCCAGTTATAATGGTGTCTCAAGAAAAAAAGAAAAAAAAAAGAAAGAAAAAAAGTGAAAACACCAAGATTTTTCTTCCTGCCAGAGGTCATGTCCACATGCCATTTACATGATGTGTTGTACAGCACAAGACCTGGGAGAAATCAGGAGGCAGTTCATCTGTGTGACATCTGTGTCCCATCATGCTGGGACAATAATCAGGTTCTGGAAAGACTACAGCATCTCTCTCTCCCAATCACCCAGCACAGAGAAATCTGCATGGTTATGGTAGAAAGCTAATGGGAGAAGATGTCATGTGTAGAGTAGGAATCAAACTGCCCACCATTCAATATAATTTATCTTCTGAATAGTTTAATCAGCATTTACTCCTTCAGTTATCTCCTTTGTACTGTGAGGATCATAATTAAAAAATAATTGAAGATTTTTAGATCTACTTTTTGAAAAAGATTGCTGTAAAGAGAAGGGAATTCCTATGGTTATCATAACTACAGCTGTAAAGAGAAAGGAATTAATATGGTTATCATGACTACAGTAAGGAGGACAAGCAGTATTGGACTCAAATGTCTGTAAGGAAGACTCAAGTCAAAGAGCAGGGAGATGAATTCACTGTATGTTAGACTGAGAAGAAGTTGTGCAGTCTTCAACACTGGAGTAGAGGCAAGATATTTCTTTCCTGACAGAACAGAGAACATATAATACTTTTACTTTTGTGGCTGGGAGATAAATAAATTAATCTGAAATTACTTCGTCCTGATTCCACTGATCTTAGACCAGTCACCACTTCTTACCATGAAAAACTTCTTTTCTCGCTATTTCAGCAGGAGTAGATCTTCTCCTGCAGATGACAATCTCTCATCTGACAGAAGTGGTGATGGAGCATGTTTTAGACAACTGCCCTCTGCAGAGGACACCTACCAGTGCAGACAGATGTAGTCAACATCTGAAAAAGGCTCCAAGAAAGATTTGTATCGTTGTGACCACGTGTCCATGCGACCAGCTACTGCTATGTGATGGAAAAAGAGGGGATGCAAGAGCAGAGTCCCACACTTTCTACTCAGTAAGTCTTCACTTGTTATCAGCATGTCAAAAGGCAAATATCTTTGCAATAAACACAGTCAAACCTAACAGATAAAAGTGTCACAAATCTCATTAGAGAAAAGAAAGGACTGAACTCACTGTTGGGCTCCTCTGTTTAACTTCTTGCAGAGTTTTAATGGGGGGACTCCATGTTTCTTCCTGTAGTCATTGTGTACTTTCAAGACTTCTTCAGCAAATTGTTTGGAAGCTGAAATCACATTAAAAAATTGGAAAGGTCTGTCAAATACAGACATTAGTGAAGACAGAAAAAGCATACTCTGAACCCAAGCCCTGGTGCAGGCTGGATAGAAGAACACAAGGCTACCACCCTCATTACCTGGCAGCAGGATGAAAGGAACCACTGACTTCCATCCAAAACCAAACTCTAACAGACCCTCCCATTGGGAAAGCTACAGACTCACCAGAGGTTGAAGAAAACTGTGATCATTACTGCTTTCCTCAACAGCAGGTGATTTAAGGTTAGTCAATCAGTTTGTCAGTTTAAAACCAAAATCAGTTTGACTGACTTTCATTTCAAGCTCTCAGTGCACCGCATCACCATTCCAATTTCAGAGTAAGCAACAAATAACTCCTCCAAGGAGATGCATTAAAAATGCAAATGATTGTCCCTACATGCAAGAATTATCTGTATTAGTCAGGGCACCACCTAAAGAGAATGAAGATACTAAAATGTTTAGATCTCTGCATGTACTTGGAAACATGCACCATTCATCTAATTCATTTTCTAGTACAAATTCATAGAAATCTCAAAATACACCTTTATTTGGCTCAAGGCAAATAAATGTTCACAAACAGCAAGTGGTAAGGAAAGAAACAACTACTGTGGCATGGGTTTTTATATTTATTAATGATTCATCAGCTTCATTTCTGAATATCTCAGTTAGCATGACTACCATCATTTACCTTGCAAGGCACTTGGGAAACCCGAACAGATCCTATGACTAAAAAGAGTTTCCTGTTATTAACCTTAGATTTCTCAGCTTCCTCTCACTACTTGATTCTGACAACTGAAATCAATCATTCTCTGCTGTATTAGCATTATTCTCCTCTGCTGTTTGTAATGATGCACTTTCCCCACAATAGAGCTGCCAGTTTGCACACACTGCTCCCAGAACGTTTTCCTAAGGTGATTACCCAGCTTACTCTCATGCTTTAGGCTGCACTTGGAGTTCTCTCTAGCTCCTCAATAGCACTGGGATAATACAGTAGCCTAAAATAATCTTAGTATCCAATGCACACAAGAAAGCCATTACAGTTTCCTGCAGTTCTTAAATCTTTTGAACACAGTCAGAAGTTGGGTTGGCTCTTTCCTGATGAAAGTGTCATTGTGGACATATATCTAATATATTCTCCATAACATGCTTTCAGGCTCACGTTTTTGGTATCAGTTTGTTGGTATAACACAGAAACCCTGTTGAACAAGGTGACATCTGCCCACCACCTTCTTCCTCTTCAGTTCTCCCTCAATTTTGTGTATCACACGTTGCACATCACCAGGAAAACAGGCACCTCCATTCTGGTATTCAAGCACACAAACTCCTAATGAACCTGTCTCATCAGTCTGCTTACTGTAGCTCACAGCTCACTGATTCTATCAGGCTAGAGTCATAAACCTCTCATCTGCTCTGTTACAGAGGTAGCCAATTTCTACAGCATCTATCAGAAGTCATTGAGGAAAGCAAGCCTACATCCAATTCACACCCTTCCCTGATGCAGGGGGTCCAAGCTTCCAGCAAGGAAATGTTAAGACAGCCTACAAATTAGACATTGAAAAACACAGCTTTGAAAGTTGCATCACATACTCCAGACTACTTTTTTTTCTCTTGAGACCATGCTAAACTTGTGCCTGTTATCATCTAGACTTAATATCTTACCCACTCAGCACTGAAATAGTAGATAAACAATCTGACCTGCAAGTATGGAAGTTTCTATCCAAATAATTTGCTCTCAATGACAATATCAAATTGAAATTCTAATTTAAAAAAAAAAGTCAACTGAAATACAGATTTCATCAGTGCCCAGTCCATAGATTAACAGAAATACTGCATAATATAGCTCTGTACTAACTTTCTGACTTACAAAGAGTAACAAGTCATGGACAAAACTGAGTTGCTTCTAGCTGCAACAGGCACTGCTATGCTGTCCCTGGAGAACCTCCATCCTCCCTTCCCCTCAAAGGTGGCTGCTATAGAAATGCTTATCTTCTGTGACTCAAGCTCATGTGCTAACCACCTCCCTCTGTACAGCTTTTCCCGTGCCTGATGATGTGTGGAGAGGGACGCCCAAGTGCCAGATATATTTCAGATTTGTTTCAGAATGCATGTTAAGTTTTTCCATTTTACCAGTGTTCCATACACTGAGAAGCCAGGCATTAAAAGTGAGAATTAATGGGAGTTTTCAGGCTCCCACCCAAATGGGAACAGCTTCCCAAACAGCTGTGGAGACATACTTCTTTCCCTTCACGTAAGCTGCTTAAGCTGCTAAAAAAATTATTTTCTACTGCCAGAGAGTTAAGTTTGGTCATGGATCATTATGCACCTTAATAAGTAAAACAATTGAAAGTATTAGATACAGTTGCTTCCTCCTCAATATTCAATTATTTGCCTCTATTTCTTATTCTTCTGGAACACTGGCTAAGATTAATGGCAGCATGTGATGATGAATTTCTAGGCTATGATGTGGTACAGAGCATACCTTACAGCTGTTACGCTCTTGGACTTCCAGGTTCATTGATCAGCTTTGTGTGACAGGGAAAAATAGGCAGAGGAATCTAGGCTGCCTTTTCCCATCACATTTGTTTTTCAGAGAATTCTATTTCTCTATTCTTACTGTCTCTAAGCAGCGCCAATCTATTCAGTCTTTCTTGCATGAAGAGCTCTTCATACCTGAACCCATACAGCCTCTTGTTAGAGCTGTCTTCTCCTGCCATTTCTATTTTAGTTTGGGCACCAAAACAGAGGTTACTTACCTGAACATGTGTTCCACAACACAAACTGCCCTGCATCACCTTTGCTGCTGTCAACTGTGCCTCCTCCACTGCTCTTGTGGAGCCACAAGATGGTAAAAGTGAATTGTTCCACAAAGCACCAAATTCCTACACATCAGAAATGCTGTGGCTATCCTTTACCTCAGCACTCAGGACACACAGCATTATAGCAGGCACACACATGGCTAGCAAAACAAGCATATGTTTTTATGCCTAAGTATCCACCCTGGTGACTCAAAAATGAGCCCTGTATCAATCTCCAGAGGTATTGTTTATTTTCAGTGCTTTTTGTCCTATTGTTTATGGATTAATTTTCACTGGTAATGTATTACTTTCCATAAATACTAAGTTTTTCTATTTAGCCTTCAAATAATTAATATATAATGCTAACAACAAAAGAGAGTTGGGACTGTTCAGTCTAGAGAAGACAAAGCTTTGGGGAGACCTTATTGTGGCCTCTGCTTAATGGGGGCTTATAAGAAAGACAGAGGCAGACAATTTATTAGGGCCTGTAGTGAGAGGACAAAGGGTAATAGATATAAAATAAAATAATGTAGATTCAGGCTAGATGTGTGGAAGAATTTTTTTATGATGAGGGTGGTGGAACACTGGCACAGGCTGCCCAGAGAGGTGGTGAATAACCCATCCCTGGAAACATTCAAGGTGGGGTTGGATTGGCCGCTGAGCAACCTGATGTAGTTGAAGATATGCCTGCTCTGGAGGTTGTATTACAGGACCTTCAACAGTCTTCCAGCCCAGATTGCCCTATGTTACTATGAAACAAACCTCATTCAGAATCCTACAGAGAAAGGTACCATTACATCTGTCTCAATCTCTCTTTGAACCATGACAGAGGCCTCAAAAATCTTCACCCAATGTGTGCATTAGAGGTAAATTGAGATAATGACCCCACCTTTCAATCTTCCCCCAAAAAATAAATACCTAGAAATTTGCTCTTATATTAACAGGACACTGCATGTTACTTCCATGTTACTCTTTCAGGCCCAGAACCCGGGCAGAAAGAAGCTATCTTGCTTCCAGCCAGGTCAGGGCTAATTTTTGCAATAGCCAGAAGGGAGCACAGCTAGGACCTGGAGATTATTCTCTACCACTTCTCATGATTTTCCAGGAATGGGAGAAGGGGTCTCTTCCATGTCAAGGCAGCGTGGCACAATCAGCTGTTTTAGGCTCCGAGTGGTAGTGAGCATTTGCATATGAATCACTCACCTGTCTTGTACATTTTTCTATTAATATTGTTGCTGTTACTGTTTGTTTTCTTCCTGTTTCCAGTAAATTGTTTCTCATTGCTGTTTCCAGTAAATTGTACTTACAAGTCCTTACTTTTTGTTTCTCCAATTCTCCTCTCCAGCCACCCATGGGAAGGGAGAGAGGAGACTGAGAGAGCAGTGCATCATTTGGGGAGGTTTCAGTAGGAACACTAAATTGGAGAAAACCATTCCTAAACCAGAACAGAAGCCAAAATACATGGAGAAGACAGATGCAAAGTAGATAGAAAACACATAAAAGGTAATTAAGTAATTGTTTAAACACTGAGTTTAAAGCTCTGCTTTAAAACTGAAATCCCTTCAGTCTCCCTTGATTCAGCAGAACTGCTCTACTCTACACTGGAAGTGGGTTATGGAATAAGAATGCAGCAAATACAGCTTTTAGTATGCCCAACAGGTTTGTGGAAAAAATTAATTAGAATTAGAAGCTTTAGGGAACTGTAAAGTAACTACGTCAAAAAGTCCTTTTTTACTGTCCCAGGTAACTGATATTTCTATTGTGACAAACTTCTCAAAGCATATTCACCAACTGGAAACAAAATTCTCGAGTAAAAGAGATCCCAGCTTCTAAAGACAACATTTGCATCTAGACTCTTCTAAGAGAGCTGACATTTATTATTAATCTTTATCCACACTTAAAATGTAACTCTCTGGAAACCATCCCTAGCTGAATCTTTCCCACTGTGAGAATAGCATTCCTTCTGTGGAGGAGTGATGGATGTCTAACTGATATGAGAAATGTTAAGAAGACAGTCTATGTTCCACTGCACTTTGACTCAGCACTTTGGTTTGAAGCCACAAATGCTTCAGGGTGGTCTCATGCTGGCTGGGTCTGCAGCAACAGGGAGTGAATGTTCCATGCTTCTTTCTCCACATATTTAACTGCACTTTCTTGCCCCCCATTTGGGACTGTAA